CACACACACACACACACACACACACACACACACACACACACACACACTAAACAGCAATAAGATTTAGTGGAGAGTATTTTCAAGAGCATTCATAATGTTTTTTGTTTGTTTTAGGTGAATGTACAAACTAATATCTGGATGGTGACTACGTTGAATATCAACAAATACGCATTTACTGGTAGTTAAAATTATCAAAATTAAAATTTCCTTGTATTTTTAGTATGAAAAAGGCAAACATCTACATCTTCCCCTCCCCCAGAGGTGCTGCACTCACATCATTAGTCAGACACTTGGGGATGCTAAATCGCTGTTACTCACCACTAGAGTGCGCAGACATAATGTGCTGGCTGGGGCTCGTGGGTCCAGGGCTGCCTGCAGGTCCCATACCTTAATTTTGCTGCACGGCACATCAAAATGTCACAAAACAAACCCAAAACAAAAGTCTGTGAACAAAACGGTGTATTTACATGACTTACCCGTCGTAGGCGCCGCTGACAATCCTTTTGTTGTCAAAGCGAATGCAGCGCACCAACTCCTCGTGACCTTCCAACACTCGTAAGCATGCCCCGCACTCTATGTCCCATAACCTGCAGAAAGAGAAGCCTTTGTAAACAAACACCAAGATCCAGACCCTGCAGTTTTTAGACAGCAATCATTCCAAACACTGACAAGTCAAACTGGGACTTTTAAACTTTCAGCTCACTTGTTGAGAGAAAAAGAAATTGCAAATGCTTGTAAATAAAGTGGTCATGTTAAATTCAGCTAAAATATTACAACCTTTGAAACTGACAGACTTCAAACAGACAACTAACAGTTGTGCATAACTCCTTATGTTTAAGTCAGTCACGAAGCCACAATCTAGTTGCCAAATAAAGTGACTGCTAAGACCAAAGACTCAATATTTATCCATTTGCCCTAACGTGTTTGCTGATTGTGTATTATGCTGATGCAATCACAATTCCTTTCGCTGTGCCTTCACATAAAAATCTCACCTGTGAAAACTGCAAGTTAAGAAATAGAAATGCAACACATTATTGACATTGAGCTTTGGAACCAAATTCTACTGTACATCAAAAATCCATCAAAATAACAGAACAAAGCTTCAAAGATTTTTCAACTGCAATCACTTTGTAGTACTGCAGGGATTCAAATAAGACACAGCGACTAGGACTGAGCTGTTAGGTGACAGATTGCAGGTAAGAGTCAGGTGATTGGGGGCACATCTCCAAGAGGTACCTAAGATTTCCACTTACGTACACCACAAAAATAATAATGCTGATGGCTGCTCACAGAATGACGCCACACCTAAGTATTTAACAAATATGTCTGTTGCCAAAACTGAGCATAAACAAGCCAACTCTGGGATCTTCATTACACTGGCTGCCCTCTACACTCATGCTGTCATTTGATGGTGAATACAAATAAAAGAAGATGTAAACATAACTGAACATACATATCAGACATTCTTTTTTGCATACTCAATCATAAACTCAGCTACTGTAATCTTGCCCCATCAGGAGACTGAACACGTTAGCCAGACATTTAATTTATGTAAGAGGTGTTTAATAGTGAAACATTGACAGGTATTCTACATAATCCCAAATTACTTTGCTTCTTTGCTTGCCTGTATTACTTAGCATGACTTTATCTGCTAACAAAGGCCATGGTTTTAACTGACTACCGGATTTTAAATTAGAGGACATGTTTGCTAGTTTAGCCATGAATTTCACACACACACACACACACACGCACACACACACACATACCGAATTGTGTTGTCAGATGAGCCACTAACCACCAAACGATCTCTGTATTGTAGACAGGCAATTCCCCGCTTGTGACCATTTAGAGTACGAACAAACTCACAGGTGCTGGTGCTCCATACCTACACAGGGGGACAACACAAAGTTTACAATATTTAAGGAAAATTTTAGTCGGAGGGTTTTTAATCATGTACATCTGTTCTACTGATAAATAAAACTAAAACTCTGGCATCAAATTAATCCAAATGTTATCAGATGGATAATATTTCTGTAAAAGAAAAAAGAAAAATGAAATGATTTGTAAAGGAACATTTCTCTAACTGTCGTCACCTTAATAGTGCGGTCCCCTGAGGCAGACACAATGTATTTGTCGTCAAAGTCAACCACATTGACGGCAGCCCGATGTCCCACCAGGACGCGGCGTAGACTGATGTCAGTAGGCGAGGCCATATCCCAGACTGCAATTGAACGGTCCTTGGAGCAGGTGACCATCAACCCATTTGCAAAACGCAGATGAAGAACTGCCTCATTGTGGTGGATCAGTGTGTTCAGCACCTCACCCGTCGTTACCTCCCACACCCTGTAGAGTGGAGGGAGACGTCAGCAGGGTCGAATGTTAAAGGCAAAGGTGACAGAAAGAGGAAGAAAACAGAACATGGCAAGAAGGAAAAACAGACATGTCAAGGGACGGGGTGTAAAAACAAAAGAAGAAATGACACAGTGGAAAATGATTGAAGGAAAGAAAAATGAGATGGGGGCAACAGGAAGAGAGGTCAAAAAGGAGATGGAAAGGACATGGAAGAAAAACAAAGGAAAATGAAAAACAATAGAGACACACGAGATTTTAGGTTTTTTTTCTAGATTTGTAATAGAGAGTATTTCACACTTCAGACATGTACATACAGTGAGCTGTACTAAGGCGCCAAGAGTCAAATGCACAACACTCTGGAAAAGCTGACAACCAATCCCACAAACAAAGTGCCTGTCAAACTGTTGCTAAGGAAGTGAAGTCACATTTTCCTTGGATACTGCCCAGTGAGTACGCCTGAAGTGTGAAGTAATAAGAGAAATAATGTTGAGCTTCTGTGTGCAGTAGCCAAGCAAGTGTCAACCTATACACAACAAGCCAAGACGTTCAATATCTGCAATGAAATGCATCCAACTATCTCCAATAAAAACAGTAAAACTAATTTATTTTGATAGGATATATGCTAAAGTTTTTATATTCAATTTCTTAGATGCACAACACCAGCTGTAGTCATGACCGGCTGTGAAACAAGCACACATTAGGATTCCTCAATACATGCAGAAAGTATTTTGAGCATTCTAAGCTTTTACAAGACGAATGGGATGCTGTTAGAAAAGCACATTTACCAAACATATTACTAAATGATGTCAAATTAACATAAAAAAAAGAAAAAATACATAAGACTACTAAAAATCTCCAGGAGCTCTCATTTTCTCTTGCAGTCCAAAGACATGCAAGTTATGTTAGCTGGGAATATTAACCTGGCTGTAAGTGTGGACATGAGACAAGGATTTCAAGCTCCTAGCATAAACTGCTGCTGTGTAGATGGGAGAACAGTGTAAAGGATTCTGAGTGGTTGCTTTTTCTTTCTAATCCAATTGGAGCTCTTTGCTGGAAAAAACTCCAGGTTCTAGGTCATGTTCTTACACTGAATTTTATGTTTTACTTTGGATGCATCAGTAACCAATCTAAGAGATCTAAAAGAAAATGCAGACAAAAAACAACAAAAAAACCCCAAAAAACCCTGTACCACATAGGATCTATCGCACATGTGTCAAAGTCAAGGCCCATGGGCCACATTCGGCCCGGCGTACATTTATATCCGGCCCGCGAGATTATTTTATATAGATGTACTATGTACCATGTTATGCATGGCCCGGCGATATGAGGCGCTAATAATATACAAACTACAGATCCCATAATGCATCGCTGCAGCCTCCTTGTTGAACGCTAGGCTAACTGGGAACATTCCCGCGTCAATCAAGTCCAACTTCTGTTACTGCGAAGCTAGCCGCTCACAATGGTGGAGAGAAAAGTTGATTCTGAAAGCAGAGCCTTTCAGCGCCAGTGGGTGACTGAATATGTGTTTACAGACATTGCTGGTAAACCCATGTCTTATTAGTGGAACTAATGTGGCTGTAATTAAGGAATTTAATTTAAGACTGCACTACGAGACAAAACGTCAGGATAAGCTGAAAAACCTAAATGCAGAAACTACAGAAAGTAGAAGAGCTAAAGAAGAATCTGACATAGACGTTTTTCACCAGAGCAAAATCGCAAAGTGAAGCTGTTGTGAAAGCAAGTTTTATTGTAGCAGATGAGCCAAATCAGCCCGGTACCACTCTGAAGAGCTGCATGATGAAGGTGTGCGACGTCTTGTGTCCAGACAAAACGCAGATTTTGGCAAATGTGAGCCTGAGGAGAAATACAATTGCTGATCGAGTTTGCGAGATGGCCACTGATTTAAGAACACAGTTGTGTGAAAGAAGCAAAAACTTCATTGCATACTCTCTTGCTATGGATGAAAGTATAGACATGCATTGCACAGCTGACCATCTTCATCCATGGAGAGGAAATATTGAACATTAAATCGATGCACGGGACAACGACAGGAAAAGCCTTTTTTTTTTTGTTTTTTGTTTTTTTTTTTAAACGTATGTGAAAGTGTAACCGACATGAAACTGCCCTGGGACAAACTTGTTGGACTTACAACAGATGGAGCGCCGGTGTTGTGCGGTGAAAAAAAGTGGACTAGTCGGCAGGATGCGAGTAAAGATGCAAGAGGAGAAATGTACCGGTGAGTTAACAGCATATCACTGCATCATACACCAGGAAACGTTGTGTGGTAAAGTCCTAAAAATGGAGCATGTAATGATCACCGTAACACAATCGTGGGATGTGTGGGAAATAGATTCAGAGTTTGCCGACATTCCTTATCATACAGAGGTCCGTTGGCTGAGTTGGGGAAAAGTTCTCAATAGAGTTTTTGAGCTCAGCAAGGAAATCTGTCAGTTCATGGACATGGCATGTATGATGCAGTGAAGGCATTTCAAGTGAAGCTGTCACAAATGCACTAGTGCAACATGCCTCACTTTCCCTGTTGCAAAGTAATGTTGAACCAAGTCAGCGCACTTTGCTGAACTGCACCTGTGCAGATTCAGATGGAGCTGCAGTGTAATGATACACTCAAGGCAAAGTACGACAATGAATGGCCCGCACAGTTTATTAGTTCCATTCCTGAAGCAATGTCCCAGCTCCGTCTACATGCGGCTCCAACCTTGTGTATGCTTTCATTTATTTTTTCTGGGGTTTCTGGCAGCATGTTCATATTTCTAACTTGCATACCGGTAATTTTGACAGGATATATTTTTATGAAGAGCAAAATATTTAAAGTTAAAGTTCATTTTTTTAAGTTTATTTAATCTGGAATAATATTCCTGTCTGTTTTTATTCATATTTATTTTTAAAAAACATTGTTTTAGTGTGTTCAATAAATCTTTATCTTGTTTGGCCCGCGACCTAAAGTGTGCCTTGAGTTTTGGCCCCCTGTGCAATTGAGTTTGACAGCCCTGTCCTATGGCTTTAAAACAACTTCCAATTATCTACATAGATATCCATGCCATGGGATTGTAGAAAAAAAAAAAGAAAAAAGAAAAAAAGAAAAAAAAGGTTTATAAAAAAAAGAAGAAGGTTATTTTCAGATATTTGCCTGCCTTTTGAGACAGTTTTTAAAATGTTAAAGTTATGAGTGTTGAAACTGAAACTGTAGCACAAGCAGAAGTAAATATAGAGATACGATGTATTCATACTGAGTGGTATCCTCTGCTTTATTCAGACTTCCACAACTTTCTCTTCAGTAACTTGAACCATTTGTTCAGCTTGCTGACATAGCTTTGACCTACTCCAAAAAACACCCTGTGTTATTTCTGGAAAAAGATGCGCTGTACCTGACAGTTGAGTCAGAAGACCCGGTCACAATGACTCTCTCATCATACTGGAGACACAATACTGAGCCTGTGTGACCGGTCAGTATCTTCAGACACTCCAGAGTCTGTTTATCCCAGATCTAAAAGGAGCACAAAAAAAAAAACAAAAAAAAAAAAAACAAAAAAAAAATGGAAGATATGAGTGAAGCACAGGAAGATTTAGACAAAGAAAGAAATTTTTTTTTTTTTTTTTTAAAGAATGCAGATTTGGGTCATGCTAAGAATGGCCCAGTCTCACAGCAGCATTCATGCCCCATTTCCCTACTGCTGCACTGATGTGCATAAGAGCCATTCAGCTGTTCCCTTGCTGTGCGTCAGCCTCCTACATAACAATAAGATGACAAATCTGCTCTTCTCCTCCCCTATCCACCCCTTCTCTTCATCCTCATCTTCTTGCAGGCCCCTCACAGGCAGACAGATAAGTGGAACACACAGCATGCCTGGAGTTGAGACTTTCTTTCCTATAATTCACTTGTTCTCTGTCTCACTCTGCTGGTCCAGACCAACACCACACACAGTAAGATGGTAAGCCATAAAGAGAAAAAACACAAGAATAATATTTTTTATTTATAACCAAGTCTCGGTTACCTTGATGGAATTGTCCCTAAGGCCACTGATGATCTTGTCGTCATCGTACTGGAGACAGTAAACCCCTTTACTGTTTTCTGAGCGACACTGAATCCTCTGCAAGTTGTGTCTGCCACATCGCCAATTAGCCTCAATAGTCTAGATGGAAAGAGAAACAAAGAGCTCTGTAACAGATGCAACATCTACCACGCTACAAAATGGTTTCAGCATTATTGTGATGATAATTTAACACGAAAACAATAAATCATCTTTTCATTTATTACTCATAATCAAGAAGTATTTGTACAAGTGTAGCAAAATGTGAACGTGAAAATAAAACTTTAGACATTAATCATTCGAGAGGATAATTACATCCACATTGCTCTTTGCTGAATCCAAAATAATAATCCATGTAAAGCTTAGTAACTAATTGTTATTTTCAAACTTATACAGTTATGCCTATAAATGGTTTGCTTACTTAAGTCCATTTTTTTTAAAATCATGATGACAAATAATTTCTGGTGCAATAATACAAACTGATAAAAAAAAAAATCGAAGGTCATAAAAATAATGAGAATGTAATCACGTTAGGTGTTATGACTTACCTCTATATCTTGAATGATCTTGGGATAGAGGGAGTGATAGTAGGAGTTGGGTGGGATTTCTGAGGTGCGGTTCTTGAACAGATATTTCTCCCTGGGGGGGAAGAGAGAGAGAGAGAGAGAGAGAGAATGACACTCTCCTTTGTGCACTGGGAATTTCTGCATGTGAAGCACACACTAAAGCCCAACCAAGGATAACCTTTCCACTTTATCCTCAGGCTTTCCTGTATGTAAAATTAACCTTTTACATTTTTTTTTACCCATATTTTAAACAGATTTCTTTCAATACACATTACAATATCATTTTCATTTTCTTATTAACCTGCATCTGGGAGTGCCTGCATTCGGTCTTACCACTGGTGTCTCTCGGACAGGCCTTTCCAGAGCGGATCAGTTCGGACCATGCGTTCAATGAGCTTCTTCCACAGCATACCCTCAGAGATGACCCTCTGCCACTCCTTACATACCAGCTCTGCTGCACACAGCGAGCGTGCATCCAGGAAAGACAGGATGTTCTCCGCTATGTGATCCAAGCCTTGGGCTAGACAGAGGGGGAAAAGAGGTGACCAAGTGCAAGCAGTGACATTACCTCACCTCGTTAGTTTATCTGTCCCCAGAGCTCATTTATTCTGAATTGTTCAAAGACAATCAATAAATCAAGTTGCGTTTATTCCTTTAAAATGCTTCTAAAAGTTTAAAAAGGGTTTTATGTTTCTGTTTACCTTTTAAAATAAAAAAAATAAAATTTATACACATATATACACACAGTTGGGTGGTCAAAGACTTTTTGACCACCCAACTTTGTTGAGCTACGATGCCGTTAGGGAAGATGCACGTCATGCAAAACCTGTGGGTAACAAACATCCACTAATCTCTGTTGGTACCTGGCAGCGCAGTAATGAAATCCCTCTGCAGCATTGGTTTGAGGTAGGAATTGATGTGGCCGTGCTGGTAGTGGCACATACGGGAAATCAGGCGCTCAACAAACTCCACCTGCTCGGCCTCCGACCACTGGTCAAACAGGGCGATGCAATGCTCCTTCTCCTTCTCATAGTTCCCCTCTGACGGGCGTTTACGAGATCCCACAACAGGACCGTTACTAAGCTGTAAATATCAGGAGCACATGAAGATTAAATGTCTAGTTGTGTTAGACTGAGAAGATGTTGATAAATAGTCACATAATGCAAATCCAGTCAGTTAAATCTTTCAGGCTCCCGCTGTGACACAGGAAATCATTTCAACTGTATACCAAACTTTGAGCAGCAGCTCATTTTTGTATGAAGAGAAAATGCTGACTGGGAGTGTCACCTGTGGATTGGTGAACTTACTTGAAGTTCTTCAGTGCATTGTTTCCCAGCTAACACCATGGCATTAAAAACAATTTGAACTCAAATGTAGTTTTTCAAGTAATGCAATCTAATGTTACTAAATGATTTTATTTTTCCCGTCTAGAAAGCTTTCTAAATAAAAATAAATACATTGAGGCAAAAAAGGTGGGGGAGACACCGAAGCTCAAAGTTGCTGTGCTTATTGAAGCCCATGTATAGGCGTGAATGAAGGGGATTAATGCTGCCCAAAGTTCAAAATAAATTTTTACTGCCACGCAATAAAGCTCCAGACACACAGTAGAGAGAAAGAGAGAGAGACTGATTAGTGGTGTTTTCATTTGAACTGCAGCAGGAGACAACAAAACCTTTCATGTAAATATCAAAGGTTACTGTATTTTAAGAATCCAAAAAGGTCCAAATCGTAATAGTTTTAAAGTCAGCTGAAGCTTTAACAAAAGTTAAAACAATTCTTAAATAATAAACCATACCAATGTTGTATGTACATTTGAAATAGTGTAATAAAGCACACCTTGAGAACTGTATTCTTCTTTGGCGACAGATCGTCCACAAGGTTCTGTGACTCCATCCCTGATGTGTTCTGTGGATAAAGAACAAAACAAAGACGTGCCCCAGGTTAGTGTTTCATTCTCACTCAGTCTGTGTTTAAAGGCACTTTCAGAGCTGGGGCAGCAGTGTGGATAGCGTTTGGCGCAAGAATGCAACAAACACAGCCAAGGAGGGGGTAACCATCAAGTTTCTGAGACGTGCACGCACAAACAGCCTTGCACACACGCACGCACACACACACACACACACGCACGCACGCACACACACACACGCACGCACGCACACACACGCACGCACGCACACACACACGCACACACAGTAAGGAAAGAAAAGAAAATAAGAAAAGAGAAAAAGCACTGCAACAAAGACTATCCTCTTGCTTGTCTGTGATGTGGGTCAAATAGTCTGGACAGGAAATTAAAAGGCAAAATCTTGGGTATGTCACTGGCACTCAGCTCAGGTATAACTGTAATAAAAGAGATATTGGTCTTTGAGAAACAAATGATAGAAAGAAAATAAGATTAAGGCATTTTTAGCATCCTTTGTAAATTGACTGCAAACATGCTATAGAAACTTTAATACTAACATTGTTATCCACAGCTCATGTACTGACATGTTCTGTACATTCAACTAAAACTATTAGACTCCTTAGAGTATGTATATTTGTTTGGAAGCCAAAGGCAGACAGCAATTGTTATTCCTAATTAGACCCATCCAGCAAAAATCACAGACTAACTGTACTCTTGGGGGCTCCTGGTTTATCATTTAGAGTTGTTAAAAATACAAACTGCTGATGTTACGAGGCTTGTTTCTACTCTGTAAGATTAACAGTTTAATAAAAAAATTTAAAAAAAAAAAAGCATATTCCTGAGCTAACAGGCCTTCACAACAAACTGTACACTCAGCAAAAATAAAAAAGCAAAAACCATCTAAATCATATCTACATTTGAAACACACCAATTCATCGATGTAATTTATAGGTTTACTGCTATACCTAATGTATACATTTTTGTATCCCCAGGTTCCCAAACAAGAAGAGGTTTACCTCAGAGAGGGTCAGAGCTATTGTATACATGTGTGGGTGATGAATGACCCATAGGTATCATCTGAAAACAGTAATGTCAGGGGGGTAAAACAAATCTACAGTGTGTACCTGTTGGTCCATACATTATAAAAGCCCATCTGTTAAAGCTTTTTTCAGGAGCTGAAAAGTTTTCTTTGCAGTATAAACAAGCTCTATCCTGAAAGCTGCTTGCACGGTCATGTAGACACTGTTGTTTATTTTACTTTTTTTATACTTCAAGTGTGAGCTGTTGCAAGTTTGCTCAGTGCAGATAACCATCTTTTGGTGATGCTGCTACAGGAAGAGCTTGAGCAAAATCAACAGAACTGAGTGGCTGCAATCAGTACAACCACACAAACAAAAAGATCCAAATACCAAGACTTTGTACTTTGATTTTTTTCAAGTTCCAAGTCAAATGGGATAAGAAGCCATAATGGTCTTCTCAATTACCAAAGCAGACAGGATAAGAAGCGATGGTGGTCTTACTAGTGTTAATGATCATGCATAGAAGAAAAGAAAAAGCAAAAAGAAATAAAATTCACACACACAAAAAAGACATCAGGTTTAGCTAGGCAGGCAAGCAAGCAAACATGTAGCCTCTCAGAGCTTGAAGGAGGACCCCCACCTCGTCCCTCACACCTCCAGGTAGAAGGAGAGAAAACAATACTCCTCAGTGCATGGTTATTCTCTGGTACCCTTGCATCCCTTCTCTTACCATACCAAAGTACTCAGGAAATAGTTTACTATTCAAACTTGGCATATCCAGATTATTTAATTTTTTTGGTTAAACAAGACAAAGCACAGGCAACTTTTATCGTTTTCACTGTTCTGTTTCAAAAGATCTGAAAGTAGTATGTTATACTTTGTATAAATAAAATTACTTTTAAGCAGAGTGTTTGAGGAGGCACCAAAGAAGAACCCAAGAGCAGAGTGCTTCGAACAGGGAGGACAGGACAACGGAAGGTGAGGAGGTAGGAGGGTGAGGGGGTGAGTGGGTGCTGTGTGCACCAAGGTGGTATGAGGAGTTGTGTGGGGTGGGCAAAGAAAAAGTAAAGGGTGAGGAGATGGCAAGGGAGGAGGGGAAAGGAGGAGGAGCAGCAGAATTAAGAGGAGAGAGGCAGAACCTGGTTGTGAGCCCGGGTGGAGGGGATGCTCTGCAGGCACCTGAGTGCACACAAACTCTCAGCCACCGAGGAGCAGCCCAGCCAGAGAGAGCGAGGCACAGAGCACTGTGTGAAAGAGAGAGAGGAAGGGAGGAGGAGAACGAAGTGGACAGGGTGAGGGAGGAAGAGAAAGGGAAGAGCAAGAGAGACGTGGGAAGTAAAGGAGTGGGGGGATGTTGGGAAGTTGGGAGGTGGAAACCAAAAAGGGTGAGTGAATAGATGGATCAATGAATGGATAGATGGAAGTGGTGGGGAGTGAGAAGCAGGACAAGTGAAGTGTAAATGTGTGTAACGGGACAAAAAGAATGGATAAATAAATACGGTTTGGTTTGAAATTGAGAGGACGTGAGCGTGTAACCATCAAAGGTGGAGAGAGAGGAGGAAGAGAGGTGGGGGATAGTGAGGGGGAAAAACCAGTATTAGAGCTACACACATTGGCACGGTGAGCGCAGGAACACACACCCCGTCACACACAGATACAGACTGATAAACATACACACGGAAGCATTATTAGACATGAACTGGGTGGGGATAGGTAGAGGAGAGGGAGGGGCAATGGTATTAATCGTCAATTAATGTCACTCTCGCTTTGACATGAGCCCCACCCACTGTTCTGCCATCCCCACTCTCATGAGAGGTTAGTGAATAACACTGGGACAAATAAATAAATTAAATTAAACACATGAACACAACCCAGACAAAATTCTCAATTTTCTGTGTAGGTAAACAATTTATGCTCCACTTTTCCTTATTCTTTAGTGTAATTTAATGACTTTAGTCACATGTTAAGCTTTTTTTTCCTTGGTCAAGAAAATTATGACCAAGCGTTGAATTGAAAACCATGGGCTGAATAGATGATAAATAGCTTTTATCACTAGACACATATTCTAAGGCTGTTCAAGCACTTAAATTCAGTTTTAAGTTTTACCATTTACTTCAACTAAAAGGCCAAATTACTACTCAAATCATACAAAAAGGTCACTTTATCTACCCACATTGCAATTTAAACCTCCAATTTTTCCTGATAAACTTTTAAGCCCCTTTGTGATGTATGGTGAGATTACCAATTTAAGACAACTCGCTCTTAATTACTGAGGAATGATTTAGGTCATTCATAGATGTTGTACCAAAAAGTGATTATTTGTCAAAGGAAAAAAAAAAATATTGCGGATTCTCAAACTGTTGTGAATGGCGTGTTAAAATATAGTTTATCATTCATGAAATATTTTTGACATCAATTTTGTGATTTTTATCCCTCCTTTAAAAAGTCTAATTGAGATTAACAGCATGTTTTTAAGACATCTGGATAAGAAAGCAACAGATATTACAACAAACAACATACCAGCTCTAGAAATGTTTTAAGTGGAAAAAAAGAACTGGCTTGACTATATTTAGAAAGAAGAGTAGGTACAATACTGTAGAGTTATATACTTACAATACACATAATTTCTTTATTTTATAATAGCCCCTTCGTAAATCTTATTGATTACATCACATTTAGCAAGTATATTAGACATAAAAACGAATGCAAACATCTGGGGAATCACTATTTGGCAGACAGCGGCTATAGACACCTGTAATGCTTAAGCAAATGACTCTTTAGTACAAGTACATATTAGGTGCTCTTTTACGAAACTTTTTTCCAATTTAACAGGACTACATCTTATTATCTACTAAGGAATATAAGACATTATTTACTAGGCCCGGCTTTCAACCTTTAATTTGTACAGTACCACTGTATTTCTTGCACAAACCGATAGATCTTCCAAACACGTGTAAACTGAAATTCTTTTAAAGGTCAGTTTCGCTGACATAACAAATCAGATCCTCGTATTAATTGACGTCTTCCTTACGACCACTTTGACCCCACAGAGTAAATGTTAGCGGCTGGTAGGCTACAGTTAGCCTAGCTGGCTAGTTTATCGAGGCAGAAAATCAATATACAATAAACCCAATAGTTTTGGCAAAATGTCATTGACTAAAAATGAAAATAATACCGTCGTCTTAATTTATGTTTGTGGCTACAAAAATAGTTTTTCTAGACATAGTCAGCAGTTTGTTTTTAAATGTAAAAGTTGGTGTCAAGCAGCGTATTTAGCAAGCTTGCTATTAAGCTAATTGCTAATGCTCGCTAGTGGAGGTAACGCTGTGTGAATGAAAAAGCAATACACTTCCTTCTACGCACTTTAAAAAAATATAAACACACAAGCAACGCATTGTTATGATTTTATCTATGTTCACATAAAGTATAAAAATGTGACTGACACATCATTTATCGAGTAAGTCGTCTTACCCTAAAACTACATGATATAACATCGCGTTGCCCGTAAATTTACGTACTTCACGACATTCTAGTCAGTGTTAGCATGGCGGCTAGCTAAGAATCAGGCAGGGCCCAGTTAAAGTGGCGCAGCGTCACCGCAGTAAACGCTACCCCAAGAATTCTCGTCTGCCTTCGACCGACGATTGCACATTAACCTCTTAATTTTTCCCACTATGTACAAACTGTACCCAAACCAACACAGGTTTTAAATTTATCAGAGAGAGATGTCTAAGACTTGTTAATCAATCCAACCAGTATGCGGAGCATTCGTAGCAAAATGTATCGATAATTTCAGGCCCTCCCTCTGATTTCTGGTTCCCCCTCCTTTTTCCTCCACCTCTCCCGACAAGTCGCTTCAGCCCGTTCCTGGCGTCGAATCGAGCCTCGGCGATTTCCTCAATAAAACACTGACAGCGATCAATTCGGTTGTTCATAATGCCTTATAGAAAAAGATCTTACCACCAGTTCCACCGTTTTGTCCTCCATCTCCTGCTCCATGTTGACGATCCCCCCCGAAACTCGCTATGAAAATGGAAACCCAGCCCTGCGTCGGCGGCCCGCAAATTCAGAGACGTCATCCACTTCGCTCAGCCACACAGCTTTGGTAGGGCAGTGTCAAAAAGGTGGGTGGGGGATGGTAACGCCCATGGACTTTAACAACACGCCGATTGGATAGATTTTGGCTAAGTGGGCGTGGTTTCGCCTCTTTGCCTTTTATTGATTGGCCTGCCGTGCTACCAAGGCTTCCCCGGTGACTCCCCCAAACAAAAAGGCAAACTGATGAAGATGCTGTTGCTATCCTGAAGAGGAATACACCAAGGCAAAATCAATCATCCGCATAGCTCTTCTCTGAGATGCTGCAGGATGTTGGCTATTTTAAATATGTGGCATGACAGAAACAGATACTTTATGACGCTTAATTTAAAGTTCTCAAATACACACTTTAGCAAACTCAGGATTATGCATGGGTAAAACAAATTCAACGAAGTAGTGACAGATAATCAAAACTGGTAACAAGAACCACTAACAACCATTATAACAACCAGAAACCAGTTCAATAGATGAATTAACATTGCAGCTTAAAACCTGAAACTCCATCAACACAGACGCAGGAAAGCCTGGTCCAGATTTTTTGTTTCGTCTTTTAAGCCGAGCAATCCAGACAAGGAAATAAACCAGGATCTTTGGGATAACTTCACCTTAGCTGAACTGTTGTTGCTTTCCTGCGAAGTGTATGGGTTTGAATTACTCACATCCCCAACCCTCCGGTCTATTACGCCATCATTGGTTTAATACCATAATAAGCAGGTCAGTTTGTTTGCCTTCTCAGCAACTGGAGCCAGAAAACTCATCATTCACCAGTGTAGGTTTACTTCCTCAGCTTGCTATATTTATAATCTAAGGCATGATTTACCAAGGTGATTCTCTAGAAATCTTAAGGGAACACGTCTTCACGAATTCTGCTCTTTGCATTATGAATGAGAACCTGGTCATTTGCTCTTACCTTTGCTCCCCTATTTGACACGCAAATGTCAAAATCAACTTTCTAGACCAACACATCCTATAAAAACTATCGGCAGGAATGCAATGACAAATTGAGATTTTTAATTAATTTAGATTTATAAAAGTGGTCAGATAAATGTACAAATGCAATCCAATGTGTACACGGGATATTTCATTTAAGGGAAGTTCATTTAAAGAGATGACTGCATGTAAAGGCCAAGATTTATAATGAATAGCTGTATTAAAGATGTGATTTTACTGCCTTTTGAAATTTAAAATGTAGAAAATTTCAACATTATGTGGCAAGTCTGACGATTGAATAAGATGACTAAACTGTCTAAAAGTCATGCACGCGTCACTCACAAAACATATCAATTTTGTTGTCAGGAAAAGGTCAGCCTTTTAAGTAAATGAGATGGCACAGGAGTGAGACCACAGCAGATGAGGAGGTAGCAATGGTTTTCAGCAGTTGAAATTTAATACTTTGTCCCCCTTTCTCTACAGAAACCCAGGTAAAAAAAATCCCCCACTCTCATAAAATACAACAGCAGCAGTTACCAGTAAAAAAATGAAATGCAAAAAAGAAAAAAAAGAGAGAGAGAGAAAGCATAGAAGGAAGGGAGAGAGGATAGGGACATGACGATGCATTAAAGGAAAATATATTTTCTGTATGTCAGGAGTGAATCCAAAGTTCATCTTAGGACCGGGGACAGCGGCAACGAGGAATCTGGGAACTTGCTGTTGTGTTCATTCAAAATCGAGGGGAGGAAGAAAAAAAAAAAAAAAGAACAAAAATGAGTCAAGTCCAATCCAACTAGGGGAAGGAACCAGCACTCTAAGGCAGGGATTTATTCAGGAAGGGCTTTCTCCCTCTCTGGATGAAAGAAAATCTCACTCCTCTTCGGCCTGTGTGATGCATTTTGTTGTGTAAGTATGTGCAAGTTTGTGTATGCAACAGGTGAACTGGAAGGTGTGTCTGTCATATATATAGGTCAACACAGTTGCACCTCTCGCTTGCTGCAAGAGAGGTGGCATTTTCATTTCCTTATTTCTTCATTTTTTTCTCCCAATATCAGTCCAAGACTACCTAGTAGTCATCCAAATCAAAGAACTCATCGTCCTCTCCTTGGTACTCCATGCCCTGGAAATCCACCCTGTACCGCAAGATACCTGAGGAATACAAAAGATGAGAGATTAAGTAGTGTGATATGATGGCAACTTGTTTTGGCTAAACAGTGGCAGGGGAAAACATGAATTCTGAAAGTATTAGACTTTAGAAGTGCCAAGGGGGTCATTTTAGGGTTAACAAACAAACAAAACTCTAAAGACAAAAAGATTTCATGACTTTAACTAAAAATGGATTCACTCATCATTTAGGAGTGTGTGGAATAAAAAGATATACTTACCACATGTCACTTTGACCCCACAGAAATTAATGTAAAATCCACTCACCCTGCCCGGTTGCCTAGCAACATGTATCATTTACACTCATTTTGATATGAAGACTGCATAAGCCAGAGCTGGCTAGATAACATTGATAAATATACAGGGGACTGTAGTTGGATAGAAGACGAGGAATGTCTGCCAGGCTGAACAGGTCATGGATGGGATATGGAGCTGGAGAAGTGTGGAATGTGGAGAACCAGGCGGGTTGCTGAACTGAGCAGAGAACCCTGAGTGTGGCGATCTACTCAGGCCTAATAAAAAGCAAAGTCCAAAGCAGAATACCTAAAATGAACGAGTCCAAGGCCTGCTGAGCTACAAACTGAGGTGGAACAGTGTGGATGATGGATAAGACAGGTGTAGGTGCATTGCGATAAAACTTCACAATAATTAATGAAATTGTGTTTGTTTTATTTCAGCCAACTGTGACATCAGTCAAATTCAAATAGTTTCACAATAGTGCTCTTTTCCTAATAAATGCTTTTGTTTTAGCATAACGACCATAACCTGTTACGCAAAATTCCTTCAACTTGTCCATAACAGTTTTCTTCTATAATAATTCAATTATTTAGATGTGTTGGGTATTATATTTTTGTACCATTTGTTTATTACTGAATTCTAAAATATATTTTGTTTATTACCTATAATTAAATAACCTAAATCATTTGCGTAACTAATAAAACCCCTAATAGTTAAATGCTTCCTTTGTCTAAAATTACTTCCAATTTAAAATATTAGGTGAAAATTAACAATTTAACTACTACTTCTTCAAAAAAACCCAACAGTGCTTTTAGGGGTCCTGGAATGATGGTGTTTCTATTGTGAAAAGCACAAAGTCCTGAAATCCTTTTAAGATCCTCATTAAAATGTATTACACCACTAAACCAATTTAAATTGCCACAAGTATCTCTACTTTTTATACAACTAACAATTCAACAGTGCCTCTGCCCCAATTCTCCTATTTTACATGGTGAAGCCCTCTATAATACAAATTTCTACTGTACAACAATGTCTATCTGAGGCCTTACCTGTACCAAGATGAAGCATGAATCAGAATAAGCAGAAGAGGAACTGTTTATCTTCTCTACTGCTACTATCTTCAAGTGCATAATACATGAATTATACTCAAGTACAATTACTAGATCATCATAACAACCCAATGACGAAATCATCACTGAACCACATATATCAAATATATTCCTAACTTCATTTTGATCAAACATTCAACTGTTATTAAATAACAGTGTGCTCACCCCCAATGCCTCCAAAGCCCTTGACAAACTGGGACCCCTCCTGACTCTTGTCTGTTACTATCTCCAACGTGGCTCCAAATTTCTTGTAGTTGTTCGCAAACCACTCCAGTAGTGGCATGCTCTCGATCAGCTCATGTTCCTGCCCCGTCTAGAAACGCAATCAGCGTTAGTAAGGTATAACATCACAGGCAATGGGTCCAACTTAACTCCCAGAGATCAGTTCCTCTTCTGCAGCACTTACCTCCTTGTCCGTGAAGTGAGACTTGTCTTTCTCCTGCTCTGGCGTTAGGTACAAAGTCTTCTCATCTGAAGAACAAAGAAGAAACTTTTGAATTGTAGGATCACAATTAGAATTCATTTACTGCTTTTTGTCTCAGCTATTGCAGATAACACTGTAGTCGTTTGTTTACCATTCTCTGCTCCATTGCTCTCTGCCCCATGCACACGAAGAACATAACGCATGGTGTCTAAGTTCTCATAGACTATGAGAATCTCCACAGCTCCCATTTCAAGGGCTTTCAGTGTATCCTCTACACCAAAGCAGTATTTCCCTGTATCCTGACTGATCTCATCAAAGTACCGCCCTGTAAATACAGAAGAATCATCAGGAAAAAGTTTGAAGATTTTACATTTAACAAAAAAAAGAAAACCACACACACACACTCACCTATGAGCTTCTTTTCTTGGATGAACTTCACATTCGACAGGACCTCTGCTGAAAGCTCAATAGCCTGGTTGAAACCATTCTCTCCTCCATAGGAGATGTCCACTAGCTTCAGAACCTTTGCCTGTAACCTCTGTAGAAATCAAAGAGTTGTTAGTAACGTTTACAGACAAAGTAGGAACCAAACAAAGTTGCTGACAAGATAAAGAAAATAGAGAAAGCTACCACAATAAATATGCTGACAATAATGATAGACTATGCTGCTAGTTATATTCCCCAAAGCCTTGGAAAATCCCTCAAACTCATTAACTGCTAACCAAAGCTTGCAGTGAAGTGTGGGATATGCAGATTTTCATATCTGTCTCTTTCTTTTTTTGTGCAACCACATTCCATTATTGGTTGTAAAGACATAAGATTTAGCTATATCAGTGGCTTACTGGCAAATTAAAGAAGGCACTTTCCATTTACAGTATGGCTGCACACATCATGTGCCAAGTTTAAAATAAACTTGCTATGTCACTATTTCATCACTACTACCAAATACCAGTGTTTATTTCTTACAATAGTAGATAGTTATTAAATATACCTATTTATACAACTCAGAGAAAACACTTAAAAGATCACCAGCCTTCTTTTGGACATCTATTCACTGCAGTGAGAAATTTGTGGGGGAAAAAAAAGTTGTTTCATTACATCATACTTACTGGATCAAACATGTCAGACTGGCTGAGTTCAGTCTTGAAATCAGCAGAGCCAGCCAAGACCATTCCTGCCACATTAACTTTGTCATTGGACACAAAGAGCTGGACAGCTGTCTCAGCTACTTTTCTCACATAGTTGTGTCTCTTCTCCATTCTCAGTCGAGCAAAACGCAGAGCAGACTGTCCTCCTCTGCCTGAAAGAGCAAAGCAAAGATTAAAAAAAAACCCAACAACAAATAAACAAAAACAAAACAAACAACGTAAAATGTATTTTCTAAACATTCCAGTTCAGTACCGTGCTTCTTGGGTAGGTCCACAGTGAACTTGTGCAGCACCTCCCTGGTGTTGCCCTGCAGTGTGCCAAAGAGTGCCCCACTACCGTCGATCACAATAAAGCCAAACTTACTGTCATCAGACAGCAGGGCTGTCAATGCCTGTGTTGGGACATTAGTGAGGGAAGAACGGATCATAAGAATGTGGAAGACAGAAAGAATAATAAAAAGACCAAGGCGAGGTTTACATACCACAGAGTTTCTCTAAAAAAATATTTTGCATGTACATCAAAATACTAAGGAAATTCTCTCACCTCGGTGTGGAACTTGTTGTCACAGAGGTACAGGGAGGTGTTGATTGGTTTAAAAGGCTCAAAGTCAATATTGACTTTCTTCTCCTTGCCTTCCTCTGTCACAATTGTGCCACAATACACAACCAAGCCATTGGGTGGCACTGGGAAGGGAAGAAAAAAGCCAGAGACTATAAATATTCAAAGGAGGACTGGAGCTGAATGTTTTGAAAGTAAATACATCCTATGTTTTAAGTTGTCTCTTTTTTCAAAAACCCCTTGGAACAATTATAGCTGAAAATATTACAATAATACAATGATATGCCAATATGAATTTATTTTGTTGCCCCCAAGAACCGCTACCATTTCCCAAAAGAAAATAGGCATTCTTTTACATGCATACCCTTGTTGTAGAGTTTTAGTCTTTGCTGTACAGAGGTGATGGCCCCGAGAACAGAGAGCCTGTTGACGCGACTCTTAATGTTGGAAGCAGTGCCAAACTCATCAGCCAACATCTTGGCCACTCTTGATATCTGGTCCTTTGGAGGGATGATCAGAGAGATCATGCTGGTGCCATTACTATAGAGAAAGTGAGGATGTAATGTTAGTGCATATAACAGCATTTGTACACAGCCAAGAAGCCATAGAAGTGATGGAATAGACTGAATAACTGACAATTATGCCACTCCTAGGTATGTCATAGTGAAACTGGCATCTAATATCAAGGCCATATAATAATCAACTTTGATTATGCCAAACCAGTTGAGCCATGTTTATTACCAGTTGATTACCTCCAAGATAGCGTAATTGTGTTTGCTCTAATTTAGTTTTGTAAATACACAACGCTTCTTGGCAAAATATCACCTTGACAAGGTCTGGCAGGTTGAGGGACAAATGGTATGGGCTTTCAGTTACACAGTACACAATCTTTGTCCTTGAAACAAGGACTAAGTTTAAGTCTTGCTACTTTGCATTGTTGTCCTTTCATTTACAACCAATCAACAGATGAATCACAGCAGTACAGGCTGACACGCACACAGCCAGGTAGAAGAGGCTGGATAAATGTAGGGCAAACAGTCAACTGAGTGTGTGACATGGCAGGCAGGGGAGCACAGGACAGCAAATTCTGCGCAACACTAGACGTCAAACTGTCGCAGAGCAAGCTACAAGCCAGTGAAGTAACACCCACATTCACATGCCTTGTTTGATAATTCAAGAGGCCCACAATGTCCCAGTCGGCCAACAACTGATCTCGAATTCTTTTTGACCTGACCAGTTTGAAACCAGTAACGCTGTAATGAACTGGCAAGCAGTTCGGCTGCCATGAGGTGACTAACTTAGTGGACTCTAGAGGAAATTAAGAGGCTCTGTCGTATGATTTGCGTGTAAAAAGAGCATACGAACGTCATTTGGACTGTGAAACTGTAACTACAAGCTTGCCGGCCTTCGCTTTTTCGTCAACGTTCTGCTTTTTTTGTTTAAGACACCCATGCCGGCCTCTTTCCAAAGATGACGTCTATTAACGGTTCTCATTAGCAACAAAACTAGCATCAACCTTACTAGCTTGAACTGAATAAAAATCTTCGGAATGCCAGCTACAAAATATAAACACTGACAAAAAAATGTGTTTTGTCCAAAATAAACCATGTTTTCAACTTCCAGGGAGATTAAATGCGACATCCGTTAGCGCCTAGCAATTGGCTAACTAGCGACAAGCAAAAGCAACGATTAGCTAAGTTAGCTATGCTAAGCTAACCACTCCCAAATTCGGCCCCATTTATACCATTTCCAGCTGCTGCGGCGGTATACATTGACACAATCACCCGAACCCTTAAACTCAAGTACTGCCGACCAGACAATTACCTCGAAATGTGACAAAAATGTATTACTTACCCACGGGCAGCTTCTAAACTTTTGATCAGCTTCTTGATTTTCCATATCTCCACGTTCCTATCCGCCGCGCTGGGGTCGTCCGCCATCTTTCTGCTGTGATCGCTTCAGCACCTGAAAGACGTGGAAAAAGAAGAGCTAAACATCTGCGCTGAACCCGCCAGTTAACAAACTGACTATCGTTTACAGTGTTATCGGATAAATTAATTTATCTATCGCTGAACCGTGTACCTCTCCAAACTAGTGGCGCGGTGTCCGTTAAGGCACCTTGCCAGTGCTGGCAGCTGGACTGACCGTAAAGGAAAGACTCAAACCGGGATGTGTTGCTCAATGCAGAGCGCGGGGGAAACAGGCCTACAGTCTACCAGGCCCTAGTGTCCACCCTGTTCTTATCTAATACGACCTACTTTCCTCGTGTTCCCCTGGAAACAATATGGAAACCAACTGTCAGCTTTTTAGACCCTATGAATATTGGCATATACTGGATGGTACTTTACCTGCCTCGGACAACGCGGCTCCGCTCCGCTCTCTGTCTGCTGCGCTACGTCAAGTCGGTGGTCCGAGGAATGACGTTGCTTTCCGACCGGTTTCTCTCTCCTCTACACGCTGCGCGTGGTGCTAACGACGGGGGCTCACATGTGGGAGGTGGTTAGATCGGTGGCGTTCACTTCCTGGAAACCACTTAGAAACCAATGACATGCCTTAGCTGCCGTGTCAATTGTAGAATCTCAATGACAATTGGACGGAACCTAAAGAATATCGCCAAAGCTGGTAATAGGTGGATTATGGGGCTTGTAGTCAAAGTCAAACTTGCAAAACAAGTTACCTGATTTTGCAAAACTAATATGTCCATACATGACTCTTGTTGTTTAGAAGTTCTAACCATTTGTTATACACTGCCCTCTTTTTCCAGGGGCTTAAAAGTAAATGAACATGACATAATTTTAAATATAAGGATAGTTTTGAATAACTGGATGAACCTATGGACATCACCAAAATGCTTTATTTCGTGCCAAGCCTTTAATCCAGTTTCTTTTAATTGCTGCTTGTTTGTGGGTCTATCTTTCTTTAGTTTTGTCTTCAGTAACTCTTGTTTTCCTCTGTTCAAAGATTTTTATTATTTATTTATTTATTTTCAGAACTGTGCAGCTTCTTTTAGATGGGAGAAACAGTTCATTACTCACCCAAGTGACTTCACTCAGACACTGAATACTGTGACGTTTATCTCATGTTAATTGAGGCTGAGTTTATGATGTGCAGTGCATTTCACTGTGTTTATCTAGGCTACGTCGGCTCTTCCACTTTGAGTAAGTACACTATAGGTGTGGGTAATGGCAGACACTATTGTCCTTTAGTATTCACTGTCACTCCCATACGATCCAAAGCTTCAGTTCATTTAATGTTTAGTTTCAATGCACTTGGTTAATTTCTTCTAGATTTCATGAGAAATGTTAGAAAGTTCAGTATGTAAGGATGTAGATTTCTTCCTTCATAACAAACCATTAGCATGATAATGTGGGTTCCGTTTTGTATTTGTTGTTGTATTTGTGACCTTGACACAGATAAGCAGAGGAGAGTGGATGGATTTTTTTAAAACCAAATTTGCCTTCTTTGTTCGTTGATTGATGGTGAACACAACTGATGGAAACCAGACAGCTATAGGTAAACTAAGTAACAAAAGAAGCAAAGATGTTTGCTGGTGCCTGTGTAATAAATTCTGGCAAGACTGACCAGGCGAGCGGAGGCACGTCTCCTCTGCTCATTATTTTCTCTAGTTTTACAGGACTGTAATCCGTCTTCACGCTCACAACAACAGGGCCTGTTACAGAAGCACTCCTGCTGTATTTCTACCTAGTGGAGGAGGGGAGTGAAATTAAATTTATTTGGGTACTGGCACCACATTTCGGTATTAGGGGAAATCAGATGGCAGCTGCTTTGGCCAAGGAGTAACTTAAATGAGATCAGGTGGAGGTGGCATTTTGTAAACTGGAAGTAAATGCACTAATATTATTAAAAAGAAATGGCAGCACAGGTGGGAAACAGGGACAAAAAGTATTCAGGAAAAAATGATAAATTCAAGACAATAAGGAGAAAAGGAAGGGAAGGAATCATATTTTCTGGGTTAACAATGGGTCATAGGATTAAACTCAACTATTTAGCTTGTAGGAAAACATAATACAGGGCGGTATAGAAAATGGCAAGGCAGGGGAAACATGTTTTATTGCAGTATATTGGCTACAGAGGAGTTGTTATACTAAGGTACAAAGCAAGAGAGTGTAAGAGGTTTTTCAATCAAAAGTAAATGTTATGCTTAAAATATCTCTACCTTGTGATACATAAGTCAAGGATAGATTTTCTCATCTTCTCAGCCAAATGCAAATGGTGATCGTCAAGCCACTCAGACTAAAGGTTCATTGTGGGACTTTACTTTACCAGCTAATGGTTGATGTATTGATGGCTAGCTCTATGCCATATGCACACTGGTGCGAAACAACAGTGACCCCCTTGTCCGGTAAAGTAGTCTAAATCATTAGATTTTACCAGTCAGAAAATTACATAAAACATACCACTTAACCTACATTTATCTCTCCGACTGGGGTGTTTAAAGGATAGGATAGATTTTCAACTAAAACCTTATAATCAAATGTTTCCTTTTGCTAAGCACATGCCTTCTGATGACTTTAGTTTGAAGAATTGTATTTGGAGTTAACAAAAAAGAAGAGATGTACTCAAAATGTACTCAGTTGGGCTTTTTTATCCTGAAACTCTTACTATATACTGCCACTGTATTCTACTTACAGCAGTCCTTTGACTTATAAATGCATTTTACACTCGAAAAGGAACAAAAGCAACACCGCATATACTCCATAAAAAGACTGTCCACACATGCTGTTTATCAGTGTTTAAGTAAGTCTCTTTGGTAAGTACATAGGTAATACAGTTAATGAAGTCTTTTCATTGTCTTCAGTCCTAGTGTTGATACTCATCAACCAGATATTACGTTTAACTGCCACTTTGGCTTAAGATGGCTCCCTCAGCAATTTTGCAGCAATGCTGTCCCATATGGATAATGACCCATATAGTAAATGACACCCATTGCATGCACTAGAGAGAGATTGGCTTTCAGTTGGCGTGAGTGATAGTACAGAAGTGTTTTTCCAAATAATATCATTTAAAAAATGGTGTGTCAAGTCAGTCACCTGATCTGTTTCTGCCGTTTCGGTTGACGACGCAGGTGTAAGCTACTGGATGAGCTGTTTCAGCCTAAAATTGTAGTGTGAATGCAGAGTAACCATTGTGTGGTTAGGTCAAGTCACTGATTAATCACTGAGCCAGCAGGTTCATATTGCATGTGTCTGTGTGTTAAAATATGTTCTACAACAAATTCTATAATCAATGTATTGCATATAATCTAGTACAGCGGTCCCCAACCCCCGGACCGGTACCGGTCCGTGAGTTGTTTGGTGCCGGGCCGCGAGAGTTGAGGTTCAGGTGTGAAATGTATAGTTTTCAGGGTTTTTAATCGGTTTTCAGCGTTATTTTGTTATCGTTTTTATCGTTTACTCGGTTTTCCTTGGTCTTTTCACCTGTGTTATGAATAAACTTTCTTTTTTTCGGTACCGGTACTAGTTTTATTTTGTTGTATTTATCCGCGACACCTTAAAGGACGGTCCATGAAAATATTGTCGGGCATAAACCGGTCCGTGGTGCAAAAAAGGTTGGGGACCGCTGACCTAGTAGTAATCCAATCTGTATAGTCCAGTAGCAGAAATGAGATATGATGTGTCACCGTGACATCATCACTATTGTTCTAAAAAGACCATGTATTTACAAACAATATATATGAAAACTGAGCGGCAATAAAAGTCTCAAAGAAATCCTAAATGACACATATATAAATACATTAATGGATGCAGGATAGTTAATCTGAGGTTTTTCCTTCTACACAGAAAAAAAAAAAACATAAATAGAAGTTAAGGAATACTCAAGCCTTTAGATTTAGACCACTAGATGACAGCATTGGTTAATACATAAATAAACGGCTTCCTCACCGTTTTACTTATTCCTTTTAACTGGTGAACTACATGAGATCATTAGAGCTTCTGTTTCTTTGCATTACTCAGCGGGATGAGGTCAGGTGTTGTTGTGTGTTTGTATTATCAATGTGGCATGCAATTTGTTAGGTGTTATTAGGCTGCCATATGGTGGATGTTATTCAGCGTCTTTAGTGAATTGTGACTGTTTCTATCCAATCAAACATCTGTTTGTGCTTCAAATAACAAGCTCAAGGATGATCCCTTCAGTATTACTCTCTCGGGAGCTTGGAGAGTGGGAGGAGGTTTGTGGTGTTTCCGACATCATTTGGCACCCACTGGATGGCAACATCATGGAGAAAGTGTGATAAAGCAGTTTGCGCAACTGACTGCCTCTAAAATTGTCCAGCTCCGGTATCAGTGCCAATTCATCACCATCTGTCGACCATCAGAGCTGTAATGATCTGTCACTTGGAAATGGATGGTGCTTGCTGTGCTGTGAATGGGAGCTCTCCTGGCCAGGCAAGCTAGTCCTTATTTCACCTGGTCATCACATATGAGCATTATGAGGAGATAAAATGAGGACAAAAGGCTGACAGGTTGTTGATTCCCTATATTTTAGCTAAATTGTTTAAAAATTAGATTTTTAAAATCATGATAATAGTGGCAAATTCAGGTTTTAAAACCTTTTTTATCCCCTGTGATTCTACTTTTCAGGGTTTATGATTGGGTTTTACCAGTCAGAAAGTTACATCATGACACATGCTCTAATGTTTTAATGATTCTAATTCTGTTACATATTTTTAAATCATAAGTTTGTATTTCTGATTTTCAGGGATGTGGGAAGCACCATACTCACTAAAAGTAAACATGAAAATTTCAAAAACATGTTGTTTGAAATAATTTTAATTATTTCATAATTCAGTGAAATCATTAAAAGATAAATCAACACCCAACAACATATCATGGTATGGATCATTAAATTTTACTTGGTTTTCTGTGTATTTCATAAAAGAGCATAAGCACAGTTATGTCGAGAATAACCTACTGTATGAAAGCAATGTGAAAAATATTATTTTATAAAAATGCCTATTCCTTCTTCATCACTCCTGTTCCCTTCACCTACATGTCAATTGGAGACTCTGTTGATTAGCTAACTTACTTCAAAATTCCTTTTTTTTCTAACTTATATCCAACTTGTGGGTCATGCATACTGACAACATTCAATATCATGCCTTTGATTTCCAGACTCCATTTATGTAGGCTTGGGAATGGCACCAGGAGTCCACTGGCTTGTGTTCCCCTCCTGTGGCTGGGTTGTACAGTGCACTAAACAAAATAATATGATCAAGAATTATGCTAATTTTCACAGTGTTAAATATTAAGCATAATACATTTTGGGGAAATTTTTTTTTTTTACTGTATTACTTCATTTAAGTATAAGGAAAAATTAACAATTTTCTTTGCTGTCTTTTCTGACATTTTATCAGGATTAAAATCCGAATTCTGAATGAAGAATTTATTCTCTCTTAAATAAATCAGTAGCCTTAATGTTATAAATTAAAACCAATTTGACACTTAAAGCAAAATGGATAATGAGTCTTTTTCTGCCCTTGGATACTCGGACATTTTTCACATAGAGCCAGAGAGTT